TGCCTGGCATTTAGATCAAATTTATCATAAAATTGATTTTTGAACCTTTTGTTTCCATGATAATCAAAATTACAGTATATAAATATTTTTTAATGCATGATTTCTTTGTTCTATTCAGTGTTTATAATATTATTTCCATCTTTCGTTTTATTTTCAGAATGTTCAGCAAAAACAAAGTATGTAACTGCTTTTATCAATAGAACTACAAGATATGCCAGTGATAACAACGTTTTAGTTCCAAAACACAGAACTGTTTTTTACTCAAACCATTTTTTAATATCGAGTATCAAAGATTGGAATCTTTTACCTCCCGAACTTAAGGGGATCAATTGTTTTACTGCTTTTAAAAGACAACTAGTCAAACTTTTACTTGATTTGTAGACAATTTTGCAAGTTACTGCTGCTTTTTACGTTTTAGTGTAACCAAGTCTTTTATTTGTACACTGTATACTTTTTAATAATGTATGTAATCATGTCATTTTTGCCTTTTGAGGTGCATACAGATGCGAGTTCCAAGGCATTAGGCGCAGTTTTATACCAGGAAGAGAACGGCAAGAAAGCAGTCATAAGCTATGCCAGTAGAGGACTGAGTCGAGCAGAACGCAATTACCCTGCGCATAAATGGGCCGTAACAGACAAATTTCAGGATTATTTGTATGGAACAACATTTACTGTGTATACGGATAATAATCCCCTGACATACGTTTTGTCAACAGCCAAGTTGGACAGCTGCTCTAGCATCATATGATTTTTCAATCAAGTACCGTCCTGGAAAGTGTAACACTGATGCAGACATGCTGTCAAAACTTGAGTACAGTAATAGTGATGATGATCCAGAAGGAGAAATTGAGCAGATTACTATAAAGGCTGTTTGTTCCAGCATACAGACTCGTGCTAGAGCTGAAGTGGTCACCTCTGATTCCTTGATTGATCTAGATGATCTGGATAATGGTGTTATGGAAAATATGACACAACGACAGTGGAGGAGCATGCATGCACAAGATAGAGTTTTGAGGCCAATGATCACAGCTATCAGAGATGCTAGGAAGCCACATAGACGGAATCTCTCCAAGTTACTGAGATACTTTGACAGTCTTGTTTTGGACCAAGGTGTGCTTTGCCGTACTTCAAAGAGAAATGGGGAATGTGTTCGACAATGTGTGCTTCCTTCAGTGTTAGTTAACAAAGTTCTCCATTACTTCCATGATTGTGTTGGACATCCTGGAAGAGACAGGACACTCTCTTTGATTCAAGAGAAATTCTTCTGGCCTGGGATGACAAAAGACGTGGATAAATGGATACAGAAGTGCCCTCGTTGCACCAGAAGGAAAACACCATGTTCTACGCAGAGATCACCTTTGGTACCCATAGTTTCAACACAGCCATTGGAAGTCATCTGTGTTGACTTTTTGAGACTCCATCAGATCAGGGAGCCAACTTTGTTGGAAAGGTTATCCAGGAGTTATGTTTGACAGCGGGAATAAAGAAATCACGAACAACACCATACCATCCCATGGGAAATGGGTACTCCAACAATGTTAGAGGTTTTACACGGCGAGACACTTTTGATAGGCGCCGTGTAACCTCTAACTTCCCATAGGCGATTTACCCGATGCTGACAGGCCAATAATCAAAGTTCCGATTATAGCATTATTTATCAATTTTACTTACATTTAAATGACCAGCGATGTCGTGTTAATACCTCTCTTTGAAAAATCCATTATAAAATCCAGGTTGATAAGAGAAAACAGCATAAAATAATGATTTTAACATCTCCGTGGATAAGCTGATACAACATTACAACCGAAATTATAAATACCACGTGACTGCTCGGTAAATACAAAAATGGAATACACAATGCAAAAAAAGCGGAAAGCTTCGTCCAACAGTGTTCGTTTTTGATAGGGGCATCTAGTCTTGCCTACTAAACGCGAAATTGTTATGAGGAGAAAAGGGTCGGACTTATAAATGTGAAATTTGTTAATTAATGTATTTTAAACAATTAGAACTTACTTATAGAATATAAAAACTACCAATATTACATCATGACCTACATACGCTGGTCGGCAGATTTATTATCTGACGTTATTCGTATTCATTGCATAATTGGAATTTTTAATTAACATAATTTATAAAAAGGCATATTCATGATTTCATCCGAAATAATTCAGGATTTATAATTGCGTGGAGACAATGAACTGAGCATCACATAATGCACACGTTTCTTTCTTACACAAGATGTGTACAGACTTATCATTACATATTCAATATCTTGAAGGTTGAGTGTTACATCTATAGCTGGAATGATCGTTTCTAATCCATTATCGCTTTTTTTCAAACAGCTGTAAATTTGCAAATCTTTAATGGTAAACAGCATGATGATGATAATGATTATGTTGATTTGAAATTTCTTTCTTCATTTTTTCCTTTCGTTTAATACGCCAATCGAAGTACATGTATGGCATGACACTGTCCGTCCAAACGTCCATTGTAACTTTCCGTTTGTCCGAAGGTTTCTCCGGCAGTTTTTTTGCGTTCTGTTTAGAATTCATAATCACAAGGCTATGTGAAGTATTGCTTCTTGTCGAGTGAAAATTGGTTATGTTTTATAGGAAAAAGTTAATATTTGTTATATTTGTTCACAATGTTAACTCAAGCCGTCTCCATACACAACAGTAGGGTATGGTTTGCCATCTACAGAAGGCACATACTCTTGTATCTTTTTGTAAATTGCTATAGCTCCATTTGTTGATGATGGGTTCTCGTCAAAAACTCCTAAATTCACCAGGACTGACTTCTTCCTCATTTCATTTGAATGCATATGCATAATATGAGGAATGGCACAGTCATGGAAATTGTCCCGGAACCATGGAATATGTCGTGTCAGTATCCGCCCTATGATAGTCGACATGCGGAAATCCCTCTCGCTAAAGTCTTCTTCATTTGGGACGAATGTGTCTAGCGGGAGTTGTGCTGCGGGAGTGTTACCATCAAATGCCTGAAGATGAGTAACAGGTACTCTATTTATAGCCATATAACCCAGAGCCATGTTCATGTAAGTATTAGTTCTGTCTACTGAAGGGTTCCTGGTGACTACCTTCTTTCCAACGTTGTCCCAGCAAGTTGTGAAACCAGGATGAAGTTCTTTCGCGACATTTTCTAACACTGTGTCTGGATCATCATGAACAGGTGCGATGCCACTTAAGTCTAAGTGCATTTCATTTGGTTCCCTCTCATCGAAAGACTCTTCAAAAAACTCATTTAAATCTAAATCATCTTCTTCATCAACCTCCTCCCCCTCCCCTTCATCATATGATTCATCTTCCGAATCTTCCCATTCCCATTCTTCTTCATTATCAGTTTCCTGCAATTCCTCATCAATAATCGTGTGTGAGAGGGCGGTGGACAACTCAAGTTCATCCTCATCCGTGGTCGGCTGTTCTGTCACACCAGAAGAAAGCTGCTCGTGAAGCTCTTCTTTCGTTGCCTTTGCCACTTCGTCAAAAGACTTTCTGATGTGATCAATGGCATTTACAGTGCCTTTGTAACCTAGACACAAACCTGTTCGACTGATTTGTTTTAAAGTATCCTTTTTCAGACCTCCTCTCCATAACTGTATAGAAAACAGTGTAGGTAAAAAGCTTGCCTTCCTTGGGGCCTTTGCGTGTAGGAGTGTAGCTAAAGCACATCCAACCATTGGTTTGAGATTTGTTTTTTGACCCCGCATGAGTGTTTCTGCACCTTTAACTGTCGTTGCTATCCCAGTCAAAACAGCTGATGTCAAGGGTGCAAGGGTTGCAAAGGTCGCCAGTGTTTCACTCGACGAAAATGAACTTGTATTTGCTAAGCTTACGTCCCTAAACAAGGGGAAATCAGACTTTAGAAGCTTTTGAATTTCCCCGCGAACAATTTTACTTACAACCGATTGAAAGTGCTTTCTTGAACCAGTAGTTTCGTTATATAACCCTCTAATTGCAGAGGAATATCTCCGTGTGCTGACGTTGTGTATAATTGGATCCCATCGTGAAGAATGCGCTGTTTTCCTCACGAAAATCCCTGATTTTGTTCGCCTCAAAGGTGTGCTGGTTTTTTGTTGAGTATTAGAGCTTGCAATTGTGACCGATTGTTGTGAGGAAGCCGAAGGCATCACCATAGCACTATCTTCATTTTTGGAATGTATATATGAACCTTTCCTTGAACGACTCCAGAAGTCATCTACGGATTTCCGATATTTCCGACTATCAGAAAGGCTACTCCAGCAGGAAGGACAGAGATATTTCCCAGACCGCTTTTTGGAAACCGGTGTGAAGCTTGCATTTGATATGGACGACAAAGCTTCTCTTCCCGTAACTTCAGATTTTGGTAAAGTTGTTTCTAGAGAAAATCTGAAAAATCCTTTACCTTTGACCTTCTGTTTGAAGTTGTCTCCGCAGTTGGCACAAAGATTATCCATGGTTATCTTCAGAAAGGACACAATGAATATCACAATAAACAGTCACTGTTGTAAAGGTTTAGCGGTAGAACACCACCAAACACAAAAAAAAATCCACTCTCTGTTGTGAGGCGAATCACAATAAAAACAGTCACTGTGGTAAAGGTTTAGCGGTAGAACACCACCAAACACAAAAAAAAATCCACTCTCTGTTGTAAGGCGAATCACAATAAACAGTCACTGTGGTAAAGGTTTAGCGGTAGAACACCACCAAACACAAAAAAAAATAACAATAAACAGTCACTGTGGTAAAGGTTTAGCGGTAGAACACCACCAAACACAAAAAAAAATCCACTCTCTGTTGTGAGGCGAATCACAATAAACAGTCACTGTGGTAAAGGTTTAGCGGTAGAACACCACCAAACACAAAAAAAAATCCACTCTGTTGTAAGGCGAATCACAATAAACAGTCACCGTGGTTATGGTTTAGCAGTAGAACACAACACACTGTAAGTCATTATCAGAGTAGAAACATAACATCTCTTACTGCTGTACACTCATACCACTGTCAGTATAATGGGTCTGTTGGACCGTCAGTTAAGTCCGCGAATTTGTTTACATCAAACTGCTTTACCTTACACGGGCATTGTTGTTGACAGCGTGAGCAACACATACATTTATGGCATAGACATCTTTCTGTGTCACAATCTCCTCCGCATGCATTTTCCAAAACAGTATGGTCCGCCTTATCACCTAGGTACTTTAAAATGGTCTTCCGGAAGCAAGTGTCTCCCTCCACAATAGACTTCATATCCTTATTGGTACCCTTTGCTGACAAAGTAAAGTTGTCGTACAGCACAAATGAGTAACCCGGTCGACCGTCCCTTGCACATCTGCCAGCTTCTTGCCAGTAACTCAGTATAGATTTTGGACTTCCAATATGCATAACTATGTCTACATCATCTATTTGGATACCCATACCCAGAGCTACAGTGGCAATCAAACATCGCAAATTTGAGTTAGTATCCTTAAAGTTCTTTATTATTCTTGTTTTTGACTCCTCGTGTATACTTCTGTGGAACATTTCAATTATCGCATGATTGGAATGTTTTATATTGTCAACATATGCATCGATTCCCAAACTGCGTCGGAGTAAAATGAAAACGTCAGCAACCCTATCTATGCTACGGCAATATACGATTATTTTTTTGGCAGCTGAACTTTTCTCCCGTAAATGAGTTAACAGCCAATCCAACTTTTCTTCTAAATCCGTAGAGTCGGCCTTTTTGAAATCAAGGAATATATTAGGACGGTCTGGTGATTTATCGATAATTACTGCATCATCTATTTGAAGGTATTTCTTTATATCTTGCTTTACCGCTTCAGTTGAAGTAGCCGTTAGAGCTAAAACAGGGGCGTGTATTGCTGATCGAAGTTCATGCAAATATCTGAAATCTCTTCTGAAATCCTCACCCCACTCTGACACACAATGTACTTCATCTACAACGAGGGCGATGGTGTTTTCCCTCCACACATTTGACATAAAAATATCTTTCCAAAATGGTTTTAGTGCCGTTTCTGGGGAAGAAAACACAAAATTGAATGTTCCTTCTTTTATTCCTTTGATAATTTCAGGGTCCATATCTGGCTCTATTTTTGCAGCCGTGAAATTCCAGTAATGAAGACTATTTATTTGATCGTCCATGAGTGCCCGTAAAGGTGAAATGACCAAGGTGATAGGATTTGCTATATCTGCTAGCATTGCTGAAAGTACTGCACAAAATGTCTTACCATAGCCAGTTGGGAGCAATCCAATAACATTTTTTTTTTCGATGATACATTTTGCAGCTTCAAACTGTTCAGGTTTGGGTTCAAATTTGATGTTATATCTCCCTTTCACTGTATTAAACTTCTCTTTCAGCTCAGTTATATCCATTTTGATAAAACTTAACAAAATACAACAAGAAATGCAACCATTAACGTTAACACTTGCTTGCATTTATAACTCACATTGGTTGATATAGCGCTGTTGTCATGTTATATGACACCATGGGCAACATGGTAGGCCTATATATATATGTGTGTTACGAGAAAACATAGTACTTTCAGGGTAACACTGAGATTAAAATACCGCGGTGCATTATGGGAGATGCTGGATCATCGATTCATTGAAGAAAAAAACTGTAGCCCAAATTTACAAGTAAAGTTTGGGTTATTTGGTATATTGTTTATAAACTACTGGCACGTGTCTCCACTAATTTACATACAATGTAAACATTACAGTTTGGCGGGAAAAACTTAACAAGTGCATTCCGCCATGGCGATGAAATTTGTTCTGGTCTCTGATTCAAGAGCAAATAACTTCGACAGCTATCACCAGCCAGATGATTTTGATATTGATTACCTAGTTGAAAGGGGAGCGAAGATTGAAAACGCAAGAAAAAACATACTTAGTTATCTGGAAAGTAACAGAGAGGAAAACATTGTTATAACAATCTGCGTTGGAATAAATGATCTACTTGTACTGAAAAGGAATGCTTCGGGGAAATACATCGTGCCTGCACAGAGAGACGTGTCTGCTATTTTTGAGGACATGAAAAGACTTAAACACGAAATTATCCAAAAGTGTCCAACTGCTCTCGTTGGTTTCATTACCATTCCCCCGGCATGCATACGGGAATTTAACAATATACACTGTAGACATCAACTGTACGACCTGGACACTACATGTATGATGCAAAAAAAACATGTGGAAGACGTTCAAAAAATTAATTCTTTTCTCAGGGGATTGAATATGGAAGAAGAGACAGGTGGCGGTCCTTCTTCAACAGTGGAATGGGCAGAAACCATTATGAGAAAACACAAAAAGAGATGCGGACGTAAACGTTATGTTAAAGAAGTGTTTAAATTTTCTTTTGGACATTTGTATGACGGATTGCATGCACATTCAGATATGAAACATGTGTGGTTTGAGAAGTTAGTCACTGGCTTCCGTCGTGATTTGAAAAAAAAATAACTGTTTTACAATGTACCTATATATTATCTTTGAAATGTATTTGTAATACATGTAAAAAGCCTGTTGTTTTTTATTATTTACCTCTAGACTTCATATATTTGTCGTGCTGGAACTTAATTTATCGGAAAATCTGACTGACTGTCTTTTTAATATCACTTTTGCAAAATGAAACGTAAACTGTTTTCCGTTTGTGATATATTTAGCAAACTATTCCGCTTGATACTCTATTCCGCATTTTGTACCGACCGCGGCAGCCATTTTCGAAAGATAGGTCAACGAAGCGGCTTAATGTTGCAGGAGTGTGTTTCGAAGCATATTATTATTAATATGGTGTTAATTCATGGTTTGGACGTTCATATGGGATAATTAATACCTAAACTGTAAGTACACATTGTTGTCATCAAGTATTAAGTCATAAATAGACATAAAATTGAATCTTACGTTCCTCCCTGATTTGAGGGCGGAACGAGCATCAAAGAAATAGTGCTTGGGAAATAAGAGGTCGCAGTCGGCACAATAGATAGAATTCCCATGACGTCACACATCCGGGCATCTTGCGACCTCCGCCATATTGTGGGTCAAGCGATAATAATCAGTCATTCGAGCGAAGCACATTTAAACAAACAGACGATGGTTCACTCCTGCGTAGTGTACGGCTGTACGAATCGGGCGAACGACAGGGGAACAAAGCGTGGTTTTTATGGATTCCCTACTGTAAGACTCCACGAGGACAAATGGACAGAAGAACTCAGCAGAGAGAGAAGAACAAAATGGATCGCGGCCATAGGCAGAAAGGACTTCGTGCCATCAACCCATTCTAAAGTGTGCTCGGATCATTTTTTAGAAGGTAGATTGTTGTCGCTGTGAGCTGGGGGAATTATAATATCGGTGGTGAAATGGTACAGCCTGCCACAAACAACCCATCAGCCACGTTTTCTTCCATCAACTAACTTTATTAACCTCAATAGAAAAGAGTTCCAAAATTGGAGTTGCGTCCCCTGGACCCGTGGGTCATGCCAACTTACCTACCCAACACCCCAATACACAACAAGATAAACTGACATCAATTGATTTCATTTACTACTTAGCTACATAAAATATTTAAAGTCGCACGAGTTTTGGAAACGTGCACTAATAATGCGAATCACATTTATAATGAGACACTGTACAGTACAGTACAGCATGCGATAGTTTTGTAACATGGCATTTGGTGCAAATACCTGTAAATCTGAACTTATTGTTTTATCCAATATTTATATGACGTGTTTTACTTCACTCGAAGTGATTTATTCCTAGTGGTGCTTTCGAACAACATACGAGTCCTGTACCGGAAATAATCTTATATCTTTATTTAGGCTCTAGGCCTAGTACCGACTAGTAGTTACGTACGATCTTGTATAACTACAATGTATGTAGTAGATGCATTCTTTTAAAGATATCAATAATACCACGGACTTATATCTATATTTATAAGTCCGTGATAATATACTTTGATCATAACATGTCCTTATATTATCTCTTTTATCATATATAAAAACCAGGTCAACTTCAAGTACATGTAACATACATACACTATCAGGCCTGTCTCACTATAAATAAATAGTGTGATGAAAAAATAAGTATTTAGTTCTGTAACCAGTTCATTATTTTTAATCCCATTCCTTTTTTTAAGATTTTTCTTTTTTTTTTGCAGGTAAACCATCAAAGATTTTTGATAAAGCAAATCCTGACTGGGTCCCCTCATTGAAGTTGAATAGGAAGTTGACATCTCCAACAACTCCAAGCAGCCAGAGTGAGCGTTTCCAACGGGCAAACCAACGTGATGACAAGCGGAAACAGCATTTAGCTGCCAGAGCTTTAATGGATTTATCCACATGTAGTGTCCAAGACAGTCAGCCACAGGTGTGTGATTGGCTTCAGAAAGATGACAAACCTGTTCACTTCTTCAAATTAGGACCTCTCTTCCCTGCAGAATCAGCGAAAGACCTAATGGAGGTTAGAAGTCAGGAAAAGGAAGAATTGTTGAAGAAGTTAAATGCAGAGTGTCAGGAGCGGACAACAGAAAACCTTACATTAAGGCAACATATCCTGGAAGGGCAGATATTCAGTGAGGATGCATTCAGAGACAATGACAAGAAGGTAAACTGCTTCACAGGGCTTCCAGGATTTTTAACTTTGATGACTGTGTTCGACTTTGTGAAAGATTACATTCCAGATAGCGGCCGTGTGACATTCTCAAAGTTTCAGAGATTTATTATGACTCTGATGAAACTGCGACTTACACTCTCCCTTCAGTTTCTTGGATATATCTTCAATATCTCACAGCCCACCGCATCAAGGACATTCCTAACTGTATTGGACGTTTTATACATTAGACTGCGAGAGTTTGTTTACTGGCCAGAGAGAGAGGAACTGAGACTTTCAATGCCCATGGAATTCAGGAAGCATTTTGGCTTGAAAGTCGCTGTTATCATTGATTGTTTTGAAATCTTTATTGAGCGGCCTTCAAATCTTCTTGCAAGAGCAAAGACATGGTCTTCGTATAAACACCATAATACTGTAAAAATATTAATTGGAATAGCCCCTCAAGGATGTATAACCTATCTGTCAAATGCTTGGGGAGGACGCAGTAGTGACAAGTATATTGTGGAAAACAGTGGCTTTTTAAAGAAACTTCTTCCAGGAGATATCGTACTTGCTGACCGTGGTTTCGACATTCAGGAAAGTGTCGGTGTAATGTGTGCGGAGGTTAAAATACCAAGTTTTACTAAAGGAAAGAGCCAGTTGTCAGCACTTGAGGTAGAATCCACAAGAAACATTGCACATGTCCGCATTCATGTGGAACGCGTGATTGGACTGGTTAGGAACAAGTTTACAATTCTTTCAGATACTTTACCTGTAGACTATTTGATTGCGCGCACAGGAGATGTTCCAGCTGTAGACAAAATTGTTACTGTTTGCTGTAGTTTGACCAACTTGTGTGGTTCTATTGTGAATTTTGATTGACAATGAAAACACTTCATACATTTTACACTTAAAGTAGTGTATTTGTCAAAAGAATGTGAAATCTTGAAATTAGTGAATATGGCATTTTTTTCTGAATGATTTACTATTGTCTGGATCATAATTAATCCATATTAAGAATATTATATATTATTAATATTTTATAACTCTATATTTAAATATTTGTTTGCAACCATATTGTGTTCAAATGATGATGCTGATTATAAGTACAGTCAAACTGTGTATAAAGGACACTGAGGGGAAGTGACAAGTATCCCTTATAGACAGGTGTCCTTTATATACCCATACAAAACTTGGAGACAGAGGTTTTTCTCAGAAATAAGTCCTGTCTGTCCCTAATTAAGTATTAAAGTATAAGAGAAATCTTACTACAACCTGATATATTTTATATGACATTTTATTTTAATCTCATCTTTTAGTTATTAAGATAACCACTTTGTGTATTTTTCTACATGATAACCAATCAAAACAAAAAGTTGAATATCAGCCTTTCTTGAACATGAGTGTGTATGATTTGTGTCTGTAGACACTTAAAGCAACAGCATCCCTTCCAAATCATTGACACTAGATAATTCTCTTGTGTATATGTAAACAATGACACTTAAACCATTCATTTTTATCATATCTATGAGTTTACTTGTTTCTTTGAAAACTATAAAATGTGCTTATAAATGATATAACTAACACTTGTAGTGATATATATATATTTAGATACAGTTACATGTACACAGAATATTCAAATGTTGTTGTCCTCTAAATAGAGGTTATTTTGCATAGAAAATAGTGTTTGGGGGAATTTCTAAGTCTCCTTTATAGAGAGTGTCCTCTATATAGAAGTATATTATATAGTAAAACTTGTTGGGGTTCCTGAGACTGTCCTTTATAGACAGGTGTCC